GTCTCTCAGCTTGCAAGAAAGGTAAACTCTCAGTTCTTCCCAGTTCTCCACACTGACCAAAAGTCCTTCCAGCATTTCCCTTTAGAATAAACATTCCCCATCTATTAGTTCACTCGATCTCCTTATACCACACAGATATACAGCTATGTAAGTTTTTGCCCGATTTAATCTGCTACCCCCAAAATGTCCAGCTCCGGGCAATGTTAAGAGCTAAGAAGAACAATTAAGAAATACCTTTAAAAATAATACTGTCTCTGGGGTGCCTAGGTGGCTCAGTCAGTTAGGTATCTGGCTCTTGATTTTGGTTCATGCCATGATCTCGTGGTTGTGGGATCAAGCCCCAAATTGGGCTCCCTGCTCAGTGGGAAGTCTGCTTGGGATTCTCTCTCTCCCTCTTCCTTTGCCCCTTCCCCAGCATGTACACTCTTTCTCCTCCTCCTCCTCCCTCTCTCTAAATAAATAACATCTTTTTAAAAATTAACACTATTTCTTTTTCTGTTGCTGACTGTAACTTCCAACTGCTTAGACCCTTAAAAAGGTGACCATGCCCTAGGAGCCTTTGATACCTTCCGGTAAGTTCCATGCTGAATTTGCCAATTGTGTCTCTCTCTTACTAGTTGATGTTTCCTATCAGGGTTGCAAGCATTAAACATTTCCACTGACCGCCCCTCCCCACACTCACAAAGAAAGGCAAGGGAGTTTTCTTAAACTAACAGTATCTTTCCTAGTGACCTTACAAATATGATCTTAAATCACAACTTGGCTTCAAGAACTGGTTCCTGGTCTGATCCTTAGATCAACATTTTCTGAACAGAATCCTGTTGTGTGGAAATTATCCAGAAGTGATGTAGCCTCCAAGTACAGGACCAACCACAGAACAGAAAGGCCACAGAGTATGGTAAATCCATGGATATCACGTGTGGAATACGTGGGAGAAGCAGCAAGTTAATGCTTTGTGTGGGGTACAGGTGGGTGGAAGGACCACACACCTGGATCCTCAGTCACATCCTGTCCTGCTCTCAACCTTCGCTGGTAAGCAAGACCAGCACTGGTGCTTGAGCAAGGGGCCAGGACATGGATGGCACCAGGGACCACCATGCTCAAGCTTTCTTGGAGAGACTCAGGGCAAGCATTGCTGACCCAGCTGTAGCCCATGGTAAACCACAGGGCAGCCATGACAGTCTGTGTTTCTGGGGCCTAATTTGGGCCATGACAGGGATCACTGATGGGTCCCTGGTTTAGAGGTATCTGAGCTTTCAGCCTGGACATGCACGGTCCACTTCTGATGGCTTGGCCTTTCCATCCTTGCCTATCTATAGTACCATTTCTGCTCATTCCTTCCTTTTCATCATGTAAAACATCCTACAGGTGACCAACTCTCTACATGTAAGACACCTTAGGAATGCCACCCACATGTCACAGGCCACAAGTTTCCCACTCTCTGTACTTGACACATTCAGTTTCACCCATCACTTTTGTTTCCCCAGCATTATCAAAAAATTGATGAGTCTCAGAAATCGGAGATGATCATGATCCCTGCTCTTTGGTGAACCACATTGATTAGAGCTTCTCGGTAACAAGGAGGAGACACCAGCTGTCATGGGCTGAACTGGGTTCCCATCCAATTCATATGTTGAAGTCCTGACCCCCAGGAGTCAGAATGTGATTTGACTGGAGATACAATCTTCCAAAAAGTGATGAAGGTAAAGTGAGGCCAGTAGGGTGGGCCCTGATCCAGCAAGACTGGTGTCCTAATGAGGGAGATACAGGACACAGACACGAACGGCAGGATGCCCACGGGAGGATGTGGGGAGAAGAATGCACACCATGGACAGGGGTCTCAGGCAGAAGCAGCCCTGCCGACACGTAGACATTGGGCATCCAGCCTCTGGAGCTGGGGGACAATCAATGTCTGTGGCTGAAGCCACACTGGGTATGGTCCTTCGCACAGCCACTCTCACCAGAGGAGAAAGCAGGGAGTGGGTTAGTATCTGGAGCCCCAGCACACCTGCCTCAGGGTCAGCATGTGCTCCCATGCTGCCCTGGGCCCTCTCTGTTGTCCTCCCCTCTGCTCCATTCCTGGAAACTCCTTGATCACACATTCTGAGATTCCGAATCTGTCTCAGGGCTGACCAAGATGCCACTCCCTCCTACACCGGCTGTCTACCTAGGAGACCCACAGCTCCCCCTGGAACATGGAGCTCCCCCAACCAGAGAGACGTCTGAACTTCTGTCCGAAGTCCTTCAAGGACATGGAAAGTTCTAGAAGGTCCCCTGAGTTGCTGCTTTCCAGGCTGGTAGGAGCCGGGCAGGATGGCACGGACAGCTTTGCCAGGTGTTAAGTGGGTCAGGTTGGCATTTCAGCTTCATGCCTAGTGAGACCAAGATGACTTTAAACGGGCACATAGCTGCATCGTGTTGCTCTGAGGTGGAAAGCCTGTTTCTAAATACAAAATAGAGAATATGTAACACTTTCCCCTGCCAGGCAGTGTATTCAAATAGAGCAATTATCGGGACGGCCTCCTGTCTTCTGAGGGAAATCCAGCGGCGCAAGGTGCGGAGGGCTTACCCCCACATGACCCCCTTCCTCCAGTTTTCCCGGGCCCTTTAAGAGTCGAGTGTGTGCGCGCGCGCGCGTGTGTGTGTGTATGTGTGCATATGCACACACGCATGTGTGTGCATGCGTATGAGAGACACGTCCTTCCTCGTGCCTTATCAGCAGAATTGTTTCTGCGAAGGCGCTTTATTGTCACAGCTGCCTGCTTCCCACCCCACTCCCCGCACCTCAAGGACTCAAGGGGCCCCAGGTAGCCTCCAACTGGCCACCCCAGACTCTCACAGCTAGGAGAGGGGCCCTGGAGGGTGGCTGGAAGGGGGCCGAGAGCGGGCCAGGAGGGGCCTGGGAGGGAGACGGGCAGGGGCCCAAAGGGGGCCTGGAGGGTGGAGGTCTGGAAGGGGTCAAGGGGGTAGCCAGGAGGGGTCCAGGAGGGTGGCTGGGAAGGGCCTGGAGGGGCTTGGGAGGGGGCTGGAAGGGGCCAAGAGGGGGGCTGGGACAGTGGTCTGGAGGATAGCCTAGATGTGACAGGAGGGTCCTGGAGGGGGCCAGGAAGTTGTGCAGGGGTCCACCGCACAGGCGGCAGTGACTTCTCTTCGTCCCCAGCGCTGATAGCACAGCCCCCCACATTGCCGCTGGACCTCTCAGTCCTGCCAACACCCTCCTCTCGCTCCTTGAAACCTGGAGGAAGTCTCACATCCCCAGTGCCCCCTGCCCCCATCTCTAGCCTCTGTACCCACTCAGATTTCACCCCTCGGGCTCCGCAGCCCACGCAGCCAAGCTTCCAGGAGCTGGGACCACCAAGGGAGAGAGGTCAGATGTCAGAAACCTGCCCTGAGTTCTTGAAGCACTCGGGACCTAGAGCTAGTGGGGTGCCCCACCCTTTGGCTCTGTCAGGCCCCCACTCTGGCTGCCCAACTGTCTTCTCCCCCTCCGCTCGGCTCAGCCCCCTGGAAGATTCTTGGGGAAGGTTATGATTTTCCACAAGGACAAAGGGGCATAGACTTTTCCCTGTGCCCCACCTCCAGGGTAGGGACAGAAGGATCTATGTCCCCACCAGCCTGAGGCAGGGCTGTCCCAGCAAGAATCCCCAGGCTCTCTCTAGGTCTGTGGTCCAGACAGTGGAGCCAAGATCACGCACCCACACAACCTGGATGGTCCATGGATGGCGGAGGGCAGACCCGGATTTCCCTCTGTGTCACATGCTGGGAGGGGGCACTGAACCCATCGGGCTGTGGGTTGGCTCACGCAGGCGAGCAGGTAAACAGTCTTGGCCCCATTCTCTCCAGTTACAGGGGTGGGCAGAGGTGATGGAGATAAGGATGAAGTATCATTTGGAAGGGAGTTGATTTCGAAAACATAGACATGCCTTTGACTCTCGGCACAACACCTTCCTCTGCTGTTGGCTCGTTCCTAATGCTGAGCCCAAGGTTTCCAGCCGAGAGAGAGCCTGAGCTGCACAGATGGCTTAGGAAGTTGCCAGGTGCAGAGGAAGGAACAAATGAATTGCCCACAATCCTTTAGCAGCTCAAGGGGCCAGCCTGGAGGATTCAGCCTAAGCAGTTTCATGTTGAGTGAGAGTTTGTCCCCACCAGTGGTAGCTGGGCCCTGGTAATGTATTATCAAGGAACAGAAAACCCTGCTGGCCGTGCTTGAACCCATCAGGACATCTGAGTGGACTCAACATGAAGTCTCAAGGTGGGTGAGTCAAATCAGTAGCTCAGGGGAGTCAGGGCTCTAGTTCTATGGCTGTTCCTCATTAGCACAAAACGGCTGCTCGAAGCACTGCATCGCACTCTAACTCCACACAACATCTGAACGCAGGCTGCGGGGCCTGGCCAGGGCAGCAAGAGGGAGCTCTTCTTCCAAGGAGGAAAAGTCATTCCCCAGAGCCTCCAAGTAGATGCCCTCCCACCTCATGAGTCAGAACAGAGTCCTAGAGACGCCTCCAGCTGCAAGAGTGCCCCCCTTTTTATAGACTGGAAGTCAGGTAAGAAAGAATGTGAGGAATGAGCAGCAGATACCCAAAAACAGGCCTGGGGCTCCCCGTCAGCGGGGAAAGCCCACCTGCCTGGTACTGGGGACCAGACCAGCTGTACTCCCTGGGACGGTCGAGCCACCCATGACCATCTAAAGGCCTCATTCCCTCCTCTGACCTTCACGCCTCCCCAAGGTGGGGTGAGCCCACGGACGACCCGTGATAGAGGCCACATGTGGAAATGGTGTACCTCCCTATCCAAGAAAGGACAATCATTGGCAATTTAAAAAAACAACCACGAAAGCATGAGTGACGTTCATCTCTTTTAATCGTTAAGCCAGTTTTGAGTCCAGGGGTGTGTGCTGTCTGCCCACGAAGCCCGCCGAGGCGCGGACGCGGAGGGCCCCGAGCGCCGGCCGGTGATGTGGCTGGGCTCCGGGCTGCTGGGCAAGGCCATTCCAGCTCCTGGCGCCGCTGCCCCAAAGCGCGTCTAGAAGAAGCACTCCTCTGAAGGTGAGGAGTGAGGAGGAGACACGAGGCAATGAAACCCCACAGTTCATTCACTTGCAAATAAGTCAACTGGACTTGGCAACACCAATGGGAAAATCCCTTGGAAGACACACCTCGCCTTCCTGTCTCCGTTCCTCCCTCCACTGCCCCGCAAGCAGGGGAAAGAGCTACCAGGATTCTCCACGGGCTTGCAGCGAGCGATGTGAAGAAACACAGGGACAGACAGGGCTCCTTGTCAAGCGGTCTCCCAGCCTGGTCTCTGTGTCCCCATCCCGACATCAGCCCGATGCAGGCTGGACCACCTCCCCACGCACACCCCCAGCCCCCAGGGTGAGTGCAAACAGCGGGACGTGCAGACCAGGGCCTTGTGCCCCCATGAGGTCCCCCCCCACCCTACACCTTCAGACCCCACGGAGCCGCCCTGGCCATACCGTCAGGAGAGTTGTCCACAGCCACGGGTTGGAAGCACCAGGGGACGCCGCTAACAGTGTTGTCGAAGCAGCAGCCTCTGGCTTTGCACTGGTCGGGCGTGATTCCTGGGGCGCCACAGTTCGTCCTGTGGTGCGGGGCCACCACACACGTATCTGGAGGTGCAGGGGGCAAGAGGGAACATAAGTCATTGGCCGATGTCCCTCTCTCTTCTCCAGCGCAACCAGCAGCCACCTGGCACCACGGACGGGGACTTGGGGCTCAGGGTACGAGAGCGACATCCCAGCCTCATCTTCTGATGCGAAACCCCTTCAGCTCAGGGCCGGGGCAAGGCGCCTGGGATTTGCAAGCCTCACCCCCCCCACCGTGTTTACCCACACATTCGTTCACGTCAACAATCCTTTAGTTTTATCAGTTAATAAATATCTATTGAACACCATCTGCGTGTGCTAGACACGGAAATCAGCAGAGCAAAAGTAGGCAGTGAAGGTTGCTCAAGGACCGAGCTCATGGTGGCCCCAGGCCGGGGGATGGACCCAGAAATTAAAAACAGAGACGTCGTTAAGGCGCTAATAGTCTGATGGAGGAGGAGAGCAGGTGAATGCGCAGAATTGCCCCGGGGGGCCCCCCAGGGAGCTGAAGGCAGGCACAGGAGGGACAAGGACAAGGCAGAACACAGCAAGGAGGGCTTCCTGCGGGAGGAGGTTGACCGGGAGGGGATGAAGCAATGGCCGTACCGGCGCAGGGAGCAGAGCAGCGGTTCCCAGGCAGTCGACAGAACCAGGTGCATGTCAGGAGGTGTAGTCTGTTTGCAGGAAAGACACAGAGCTGGGGGGGAGGGTGGCTTCAGCCAATCAGCAGCTTTAACACGGGGGGAGGGGAGGAGGGAGACCATGGGAGGCAGGACGGTGGGGGGGACACTCTGGGAGGCAGGGCTCCCGTGTGGTCTACGCAGGAGAACTGAAGGGCTGAACCCTGTTAACCCACAGGCTGGGTGGCCTCTGCAGGACGTCCGTGTCCCCGTGTCTGCCCCCCGCCCCAGAAGGCAGGTGGCGTCGCCCATCCCCAGGGCGGTTGTGAAGTCAGGAGGAGCTGTGTGCGCGCACGGGTGTTCCGGGCGTGCGAGTGCTCGTGCACGCTCAGACACGGCTCTGTGTCCCGCAGCCGGGGTGGGGCGGGGGCTCGCCAGCGCCGGGCCCCTGCCAGCTCACGCTCCTGATCAGGAATTCCAGGTTTCCAAGCTCTGTGCTCCCCTTTCCCCGCACGGGACGGACCTCGCCCGGTGCGGTCTCTGCCGGGGCTGTGCGTGCGAGCGGGCTTCTGGAGCCCTTCGTGACAGGATCCCTGAGCCACCGAGAAGGGGTGCGCCAGGCGGTGGGGGGAGAGGGAGCCACAGCCGGGCCTGGGGGCGGCCGCGTGGCCACACTCCCAGAATCTTCCACTGCACAGCCACGTCCACTTCCGACCCGAAGCCCACATGTCCCTTCAGCCTCAGCCTGTCCCTGCCTTGGGGACCTTCTGAGAGGCCATCAGGTGCCTTCGTCGTCCCCCTCCCCACTGGGTCATCGGAAGGCACCCTGAGATGCCCAGAAACCACGGTTTTAGCTCCCTCTCCTCAAACCTCTGTGGAAATCCTGGTTTGGAAAACCTGGGAAATTATACAACAGCATTTGACGAAAATAAGTAATGTGGAGCAGAGGGAAGCCTGCAAGGTGCTCTCTGAAAACATCGTCCCACCCCGAGCCCCCTGAGTCCGGCGCCTCGGTCCAGGGGCTGAGACAGCGGCTCAAGAGGGCAGCATGCTCCGACCTTGTGGTGCCCCTGGAACCCACCTGCTGGGACCGCGGAGCCTGCAGGTGTCCTCAGGTGACGCCCGTCCACAGAATGGGCCCTTGGGCACCTGGGTGGCTTGGATCAGAGTCCAGCTCGGACATCTGGGGAGCTGCTCTCCCACCACACCTCCAAGACCACCCCTTAAGAGCTGGTACTCAGGGCGCTGGGTGCCAGACACGGCCAGCGGCGACCAGGACACCCACATGCTCACAGTGGCACTCGGAGCTTGCATAGCCGTGGCCGTGCGGTGCTCTCCGCCGGCCTTCACCCTCCCAAATCCTCCCAGCACCCAGCACCGCGTTCGTCTCAAACACACGGACTATGGCTCGGGCACCCTCGCGGGAGGGGGGCCGCTTACCGAGCTCGCCCTGGGCCAGGGAGCTGAGGGTCAGCACGCAGACCAGCACGAGAACACAGACCACCCTGGGCTCCATGGTAGCCGTGACCCTGCTCTCTGCTCCGGGGAGACCACGCGTCAGGGATGGGACCCTGGGGAAGGCCCTGCATTTTATGCGCAGGCTCTGTTTGCCCAGTGCTGGCTAACATTTGCCTAAGGAGGGCCCCCCAGTCCTCCATTCCAGGTAATCTCCACTGATTAAACGAGTTGCTGATACGGGCAAGAGCTGTGGGATGTAATCATCCTGAAGGAAGGACTTGAGGTTCACAAGGTCTCTCCTGTCCCTCAGGCCTGGCCCGACGGCTAACCGCAGCGGGGACCCTCCTGCAGGTGTCAACATTACGCTCCCAGAAGGGTGACTCATGGGAGAGCTGGCCCCAAAAGGCACAGTTGTGTCAACAGTGGCTCACGGGGTCGCCCTCCACGGCAGCCGGACTCGGAGAGGCAAGGAGAAGGGCTCTCCCTCCCGCTGGCACTGACATTGACAACTCAAGCATGGGGGTGCTGGGGGGCCTCCGTCCCTTAAGCACCTGACTCTTGATTCCGGCTCGGGTCGTGATCAGGGTCATGGGATCGAGCCCCGCTCGGGCTCTCTGCACTCAGTGAGGAGTCTGCTTGGGGTTCTCTCTCCCTCTGCTCCTCTGCATCCCTTCCCCTAAAAGGAAGAAAAAAAAAAGACTTGAGACCATCCAACATCTTACTTAGAGTATTTCAACTTGCTTACTTAAATTAATTTCTCTGTTTTTCTCTCTCATTCTACAGCAGGGTCCTTTCAAAAACGACGCCATGCATGTAGGTAAGGCCAGCCTTCTGACCCGACCGAGCTGAGGCTCTCCTCCCTCCAGGGACCCCTCTCCCTGTCTCAGTCCCCCCAGTAAAGCCCCCTCAACTGGCAACCACCGGCCAGCCCCCCTGACCCCACCGGGTCCAGTTCTCTTCCCAGAGCCCTTGGTGTCCCCAGTGCACAGGGCGGCCAGCTGCCACATTGTGCGGAGCATGCCTGTCCCCCAGGAGGGCGGCAGGCCGGTGAGGGCAAGGCGCCCCATCTGCTCTGTGCCCTCCGGAGGCCCTGCACCAACAATCATTCTTACTCAACAGACATTTGTGGAGGAATGAATGAATCAATGAATGAATGAATGAATTAGCGGCAGGAGAAATATCTTCTCCTCAGTGAGTGATGAGGTTCTGAGCCGAATCCACCTTGGAGAGGAGCTTTTCTAAGTGACTTGGTCACCCAGTCCTGGCAGCCCCGGTGGGAGTCAGAACTGGGGGTGCCGCCTTCTTGCTCCCCACCCTGAGCCCTGACCACCACCCCCACCGGGGCTGCCCAGCAGGGTGTCCAGGAGAGGGTCAATGTGCAGGACCCAGTGTTTGGGGGGGCAGGACGCAGAGTCCTCTGTGGGGCGGAGTCCATTTGCCAGAGATGGTGTTGGGGGGCAGGACCTGCAGTGATGCTCTCGATCGTGGGAAACCACCTCTGAGTTCTCTAGGCAAACAGGAGCTCCCAGACACGGAAATGCAAATTGCACAACGATTTGGAAGAAAAGTGTGTGACTGTTGATGGAGTTGATGTTACACAAACTCACAATCCAGCAATTCCACTGGTTCTAGGTCTGGTGTGTCCCCCAGATAAATCCCCACACTTAGGCAGGAGGAAAGAGAGACAAGGATGATCATCGCAACATTGCCTGTAATACCTTTGGAAAAAAAAAAAAGAAGGAAAAAAAGAAGAAATGGAGAGGATGAAGAAAAAGAAAGAGAAAGAAAATAAGGGAAAGAAAGAAGGGAAGAAAGAAGGAAGGAAGGAAGTGTGGGTGGGTATGGATGTTCATAAGTGTGCAAGGAGAAGGGAAAGGGAGAAAGGGTGTAAGGCACTTGTGCGCATCGCGACCCTGCAGAAGATGGAAATGAATGAATGAATGAATGAATGAATGCCTGTTGGCAGCGAAGCCAACCAGGAAGCCTGGGAAGGGCGCTCCCAGCCCACTGTCCCATGTGCGGCAGGTTTCCGGAGCTCAGAGCTGGGAGCGCAAGGTGAGAGCTCTGCCCCATGAGCTCACATTGCCGGGGATGCAGGGGGAGGCCGCCGACCTGCGTGTCATGGACGCGTCTGGGAATCAGGGACAGCGACGTGGGATCAGGGAGGGCACCAAGGGCCACCAATGTGGGTGTCACGTTCTACTTCACGGGAGGAAATCAGAAGGAAGTGTGGTGGGAAGGTCGACATCTCTTAGGGAGGGAGACTCGGGTCCATGGGTGTCTGTCCTGTGGCTCTCTGTGTTTGCAGTGACCTCCTGCTCCACGGGGACAGCTGGGTGGGGGACATGCATGGCTCTGTCCCCCGCGCTAGAGGCCGGGGTGCTGTGACTGGTGGGGTGTGGCCACTGTGACCCTCCAGTGTAAGTCCAAGACCCCTGATGGGAGTAACCCAGGGTCGCAGGATGACCTTATATACCTTTGGTGGGTTTTATTTTAAGCAGTCTTCACGCCCAGCATGAAGCCCAACGTCGGGCTTTAGCTCACGACCCTGAGATCAAGACCTGGGCTGAGACCAAGAGTCTGGTGCTTAACCCACAGAGCCGGCCTGGATGGTTTGTTTAAATGACAGTCTAGTGAAGCAGGAAACGTGCTGGGTCGAGTGCCAGCCTGCTAACGAGTCGCGTCACATGGTGACAATGCTGGAAGATGAAGGGACTGACCCCAAGATGGGCCCCAATCTAACATGACAATGCTCACTGCGCAGGACCCACAGCCAGGGCAGGACCCCTTGTGGGGGGCCCCTTCTCCCCAGTGTCATGCCCCGGCTCTGGCTCAGCCTGATGGGTCTCCCGCCCCAGCACCACACCTCCTAGCACAGGGGGCAGTGTATGGGGCAGGCCAGTTTCCACCACCCTCCTTTGCCACCCTCCTGAGCCCTGGAAGCGGAGCCACATGGCCCTGTCTGCCGCCTCCCGTCCTCTGGCTTCTGGCCACTGTGAGCGGTGCTAGGGAGGAGGTGAGCTCGGGGTTCTATCTCCTGGGTCCCTCCCTGCGGGGTCACCTCACAGAGCCGCAACCCTGTGTCCAGCCCTCTGCACACGGCAGTCTTGTCCATGCCCCCGTGCGGACCCCTCTCCGCGTTGCTGCAGGCTGAGGGGTGCACCGCCCCCACAGAGAGGCCAACAGGCTCTCCGTTTCACCCTCCTGCAGTCACCCAGATGGAGAGGGACAGGCCTGCTTCCCACTGGGCCACCGAGGGACACAGAAGTTCTTACCACGGTGACTTCATCACGTCACACACCATGGACACAAGCCCCTGAGGTGGGCCACCAAGCGTGTCTGCTGGTCAGGAATCCAGCACCAGTGGCCACGGGGGTGGGGGGACAATGTCATAGTGTCTCAGCTGAACGGGGAGGTGATGGGGAGTGATGTCATGTGATCATGATTTGGGGCCAGCTCCGCATGGCATGGTAAGAGAGGACAGGGTACGGGGGAGAGTGAGATAGAGGCAGACCCCCTGAGAACGGGTGGGTAGAAAGGCCACCTCGGCCCAGCTCCCAGAGCCTCAGGGCAGGGCAGGACAGCTGTGCTGGATGGGGAGGATGGGCCGGACAGGGAGGACAGGGTGGATGGGGAGGATGGGGAGGATAGGGTGGCCAGGGAGGACGGGGGGGACGGGGTGGCCAGGGAGGACGCGGTGGACAGGGAGGATGGGGCAGCTAGGGAGGACAGAGAGGACCGGGAGGACGGGAGGAAGTGGAGGACGGGGAGAGCCAGGTGGATGGGGCAGATGGGGAGGACGGGACGGACGGGGCCGCCGAGGAGGATGGAAAGGACACAGCAGACAGGGAGGACGAGAAGGACGTGGAGGACGGGGTGGACGGGGCGGATGGGGTGGATGTGGAGAACCGGGCCGACGGGGAGGACGGATGGACAGGGCAGCCAAGGTGGCCAGGGCAGATGGAGTGGACGGGAAAGATGGGGCAAACAGTCCTCTCCTGGCCAGGCAGCAGCAGGTGACCATCGGCCACTCCAGGTCCCGGACACCAAGATGCTGGCAGCCGTGAGAAGAGTCAGACCCCAAGACATGCAGCGGGGACGTCGTGGGCGGGAACATGAGGCTGGGCACTCTGACCCCAAACCAGCCCCAGACCTTGTCCAGCAGCAGAGGGACCCCCGGCTCTGGGTGGGAGGGGGCAGCTCTGCCACCCATGAAGCTCCCGCAGACCACTGACTGGGAGTGGCCCACAGAGGCGGACCCGGGGAGCCGCTCTCCTCGGGCCAGCCTGACTGGCCTCCAGGGGCGTCAGGTCTGACCCCTCCTGGCCTGCGGCCTGCTAGGGACGGCCTGCGCCCTGAGGGGCCTGGGGCTGTCGCGAGCGGAGGCAGGCGGTGTGGAGCCCGGGAGAGGGAAGGGCCAGCTCAGAGGACCGATGTCACACGCACCCAGTGGGCGGGTCAGGGGCGCCAGCGCAGGCGTGCGGGAGCCTGGGACCGTCTTGTGGGCAGGACGGGGCCTGCGCTCCTGCAGGGGACACGCCGGAGTGTCCCAGCACGTGGCTGCCTCGCTACTCAGGGCAGTCTGCTCCCTCACAGAACTCATGAGGTCAGAATGCATTCTAGAACATTCCAGGGCTCCACATGCACAGAAGGTGTGGGAAGCCAGGTGCTGCGGCAGGGGACGGGGTCTCAGGCCCGAGGGGGTCTATCCCAGGCGCCCTTCTCAGCCGTACTGGGAGTGCCCGGAGTGTGCCCTGTCACTCGGGACCTTCAGCTCCTATCATGGGCGCCACGGCTCCTCCAGCCTCCACAGGAATAGACGCCGGCTTCCCGCCGAGGAAGGGCCTTACCTCAAGACCCCAAACACCCACAATAAACCTACCCCAAGCCTTCCCCAGAACGATCTGAGCCATTGACGGCTGCTCTGGACCCACCTGCGCCCCCCCGGAAGGCGCTGACGTCCTCAACTCCAGCACCTGTGAGTGGGACCTCATCTGGGAGTGGGATCTCTGCAGGGGCCAGGTTGAGATGAGGTTCTCAGTGCGGACCCTCATCCAGCATGACCGGGGTCCGATAAAAGGGGACATTTGGACACAGACGTGTCCAGGAGCGAGATGGTATAAATACACAGGGAGAACGCCATCTACGAGCCACGGGATGCCTGTGGCTCCAGGAGCCAGGAGAGGGGCCCCGGGCAGATTCGCTCTCAGTAAAACTGACCCAGTGACACCTTGATTTCGGACCTCTCGCCTCCAGACTGGACAGCAGCTACGTCTCGGTTGTAAACTCAACGTGTGGTGCTTGTTTCCTACAACACACCCGGGGGACAAGATACCGGAGAAAGGACAGTATTTAGACGTC